CACTTACTTGTCACTGATACGCAATGCCTAAGAACCACAACTTAAAATGGGATAGGCTGAGTTTGGTTCATGCTTTTAGGGGATTAAGTCCGTAGATGTCTCTTTCCAAGAAAGCACCATTATGGTGGAGAGACTTGACAGAAGAAAGCTGTTCACCTCATGTTGGACAAGAAGCAGAACTGAGGACAAGTGCCAGGGAGGAAAGTTAGTGACTGGACTTAAAGGGGTATCTATTTAATCCCCTCAGTGGCTTGCAAGCTAGTTAAGTTGAGATAATTAAAACTAACAACTAACCTTTCCTATTTTCCAATAGGGAATATTGATGCTAGTCACCTAAATTGAAGACAGCAATTTAGGGAAACAGCAAGTAGTAGAAATGTATTAGCTGCTATGTAAAGGCATTCATTACTTTGTAGTGCTTCTACCCAGATTTTAATTAAGAGCTTTGTACCATATATGAACTCAGTCCAATTATACTAATATTTGAATGGTTAGTTGATTGTAGCTTGGATTTTGGTTATATACTGATGAACAAAACATATATTTTTATGATGCTCATGAAGTTACCACTGCTGCAAGTGAAATAACCAATAGACAAGTAAACAACATCTGAATTAAAACTGTTCATGCAATAAAGTAAACGAATAAAGAGTATGAGAATATGTAATAAGTAAGATTCCCTTGATAATGTTGATGATGAATGTCTCTCTTATTTGAAAACTGAGATTAAAAGGAGACAGAAATGGAAAAATCTGCAGAAAGCAAATTCAGATAGAGAGAACAGCATACACAGGTATTGAAGTCTTTGTAATATAAAAAGCTTGGCCTGTGCTAGGAACTACAGCATCTCAATGTAACTTAAATGAGAGCAAAATGAGGAAGAGAATAGAATTAAATGATGTCTACGGATCCAAAAGCCATAATAGATAAGGCTTTGAGGCCATAGTGAGAAGTTTAGAATAAATGCTAACAGGAAATGAGAACCAGTAAAGGATTTTAAATAAAGCAACACATGACATATCAAAGAAGGATCACCTGGGCTACTTGTAAAAAGGTTTAGAATGAATCAAGAGATGGTATTTCCCCTGCCATCAAGGAGAAGTAAATCTAACAGAATTTCAACAAGTTTGATAAATGCCCTGAGAGAGATAATAGAGTATGGAGATAAGCATGGACTCCAATTATACTACACCATCACTCCCTACCCCATACAACTATTTTTGCTTTAATGCAACTTACTTAATTTCTCTGAGCCTCAACTTTCTCATTTGTAATACAGAAATAATCATAGGGCTGCTGTGAGGAACAACAAAATAATATACCAGAAGTACTTCTCCTAAAAATACATGGTAGGATTCATTAAATAATAATGTTAGTATTGTACAGAGTATAAGAATGTGATTATAAGGGGCAAGACTGGAGTATAAGCAGTCCTGTTTGGTAGCTACCATACTGCAGGATGATGAAAAGAGGAAGATATGGATTGGAAAAAAATTTAGAAGTGAAAATCATGGGATATATGAATATATAAAGAGGGTAAGTGCAGTGACAGGGATTTAAGGGACTCTTCAATTTCTAACTTAAGTGCCTGCGAAGATAATCATGGTACTGACTGAAAAGAAAGCACTGAATTAGCAGTGAACCACCAATATCACATCTCTTTGTGAGACAGGAACCAAAAATATGTCTAGATTGAAAGGGAGAAAGATTGGCAACATAAAGTGGGTGGTGAATTAGAGAGAGAGAGAGAGAGAGAGAGAGAGAACATACTTTGCATTTTCTTAGGTTGTTTTCCTTTCTTAAATTGCAGAGATATACAAATTGTTCAAAACGAGCTAAATGTTCCCTCTAAGAGACTATATTTCTGCCCAACCCCAAATAAATTCCACTTAATGTTCCCCAATAAGGGGACTTTTATTTAATTTTCACTGAAAAATTTGGGAAAAACTCATCCTACCTTCCTTCAGTCTGTAAAAAAGAAAAATTTTGGAAAGCAGACTATGAGACAATAAGCTCACATTAAACTGTGAGTTTCAGAGGCACATAAAGTCACAATAAAAAAGAGGTATGAACTTGAACTCTAGCTTGCTGTTTTCTCTGATTAGACTGTTACTTAACACAGAAGTGTGATCAACTATACCTTAAGTAAGTGCAACTATTTATACCAATGAAGCAAAAACAAACAGCTATGCTTGTTAATGCAAAAGTGGAAGTTTGATTTGAATGAGTGTGAGCTATTTTTAGTTCTTGGAATTGAAATGCACTTGTAAACTTTACTCTCAGCTTTTGTATGCATAATGTTTGAAGCAATGCCCATACTGAAGTCAAAATGGGTACTGGGGAGGGATGGTTGGCATGCATATGAGCAGGTGTTTACTTCTGTCCTGAGAGCCAGACTATAGGAATCTTAGAGTCATAAGAGCATAGTGTCTTACTATGGAATTAGAAAAGCTCTACCATAATTCTTTTTCACATGTTGAAATGAATGGCAGTTAAGCTAGCTGCATTCTACTATAGCCCCTCTTAGGAAGAGACCAGTGGCATGGTGAAAGTAGCAAATCTTCTCTCTTAGTCATTTTCCTTATCATTTCAAGTGGCATAGAGAAAAAAAAACCAAGCCTGCTTCCTTAATCATTTTCTTCATCACAGGGACAAAATATCCAAGACTCACAGTTTAAAGGGGGACAAGTTTATTTTGGCTCATTGTTTCAGAAGTTTCAGTCTAAGTTCAGCAGTCTTAAACACAGAAACTGGTATGGTGTGAGGGCCTGGATAGAGGAAAGCTGCTCACATCATAGTGTCCAGGAAGTAGAGAAAGGAAGAGCCAGAGAGGGAGATGTACCCTTCCAGGTCATGGCCCCAGTGACCTACCTCTAACCAGGTCCCATCTCCTAACAGCAAGTCAGCTGTATCAGCACCCCCCTCTGGTAATTCCATTACCTTCCGTGAGCCCAGCCTCTGAATGCGTGAGGCATTGGTAGGGGACATTCCAGATCCAAAGCACAATACTTGCATTATGATAAATCCTATCATTGCAGTTTTCTAACTTAAGAAAATTTACTACATCTCTCTGTACCTCAGTTTTGTCATCTGCATTCTGAAGGTAATAATAGTTCTACTTCTTACAACATTTGTAAGAATTAAATTAGATAATACACGCGGAAATTTCTTTTGTTGATTCTGGGATTCATCCTTGGTAGTTAAAACACGATGATTTCTTGCCTTTTCATATGTGACCATCCCTCCATCCTCTATTGTAAGTCATACATAATGTACAAGATGACTAAATGTCTCTTGCAGATGTATCACAGGTATGCTAAGTAGGGTGAGCAAAATTGAAAATACCTTTTAGAATATGGCAGCTCATAACATTGCCCCTTTTCTGTCTTTGAATTCATGACTTGGGATTTTGTTCTTTTATCACATTTCCATGTACTAGAGTGTGACTGAATATAATATGAGGCCATTGTGCCACTAATGAGGAGACACCAAAACCACATCACACCTTTGTTGTAAATTTACTTAATGCAAAAATGATAAACACACTTACCTTGGGCTGGGCATTTAGCTCAGTGGTTTCGCCTCTTGCTGTGCAAGCACAAGGACCCAAGTTCGATCCTTGGTACCAAAAAAACCCCAAAAAAACAAAAAAAACCTCACCCAAGAAACAAATTCAAATAAATAACTTTATTTATTTATTTATTTATTTATTTATTTATTTATTTTACTTGCAGCCCTTACTACAATAATCATCCCTGCTAACAACAGAATGTATGTTTGCAAAATTTGTCCTTGGAGGGAAAATATGGGAAGTAGGGTTTCTCTGGAGAATAAGTCCCTAGTCCTTGCACTTGAAGTCCCAGATATTCCCTTCAAGAGATTTGTGGACATGATAAACTCCTCTCTTTGCTTTTTTAACCTGTATTAAATAGAGTCCAAATTAGATCATTTGTAAAGGTCCTTCTCAGTCTGAATATTTACAAAATAATTAAAATAAGATTTAGTCAATTGCTATCCTTCTATTATAATCTGCAATTTGTACAACTTCATGGCCAGACCTTGAGAAGCTCTAAAAATTACCCTACTCTCTCCCTAACCTAACATAATACACAATAAAAACCCATGCTAAAGCATACAATATGACTAAAGGTGTCAAAAAATGTCTCCGTGTAATTAGTACTTTGATGAATGAAAAATATTAACTCAAATTATTTTCAGAAATTATTTTGGTAGTTCTGCTTTGCTGGTGCCTTTAGCAATGTTCTCTGTGACTGTTGGTAAATATATCATGCTGAAGATGTCATACTAGTACAATGTTCCTCTTAGAGGGAGAAATTGGTCTTTTCTCTTCCAAGATGACATGGGGAGAAATACACTAGTTCAGTTTTTAAATTCATATAATGAAGATTTTCAGGTAAATGTGTAATGAGACATAACCCAAGGGGGATGAACTGAAGAAGAACCTCAGAGTCACAAGCTATTATAATAAAATAATGTAGGCCCAAGTAGGAAGGCCGTTTTCTAAATTGTGACAATTCGTTGTAGGAAGTTGGGACCCATTGAGCAAGGTGAAAAAAGGAGAAGCAAAGGCATCTAAAAGATGAGGTTGAATTTCTTCCATTGTGATTGTGAGTGAGTAACATTCACTCTAATCAGTGCTTTTGCTAAGGAAAATTTAGAGGAAAAAGAAATATACTCAAATGCTATATTGTTTCTACCTTTGTGAGAACAATAGATTGAATATTTCAAGACAACCTTCCTTGTAAGACTTAATATGGAGAATCTTGAGAAAGCAATTGTGAGATAATTCCATGATTTCCTAATTGATTCACTGGGAGACTGGGTCAGTCTTAAATTTTGCTTAAGCTTTTGCATTTTATTCTGTAAATAGACCCCTTCTAATTTTAATATTCAATCTCTTTTAAAAAAAGAGATCAAGATGTTGACTAAGAACTAGTTAATCATTTTACTCATTTTTTTTGGCTTTGAGCAGAGATCATAAATCCATGGCATAACTTGATGAATATACTGAAATATTCAAGATGGATAGCAATGGTACCAGCAATATTGAGACTAACTGCAATGTCACTAGTATGAAATTTCAATACTCCCTTTATGCAACAACCTACATCCTCATATTCATCCCTGGTCTTCTGGCCAACAGTGCAGCCTTGTGGGTTCTATGCTGCTTCATTGGCAAGAAAAACAAAGCCATCATTTTTATGATCAACCTCTCTGTGGCTGACCTTGCTCATGTGCTGTCCTTACCCCTTCGGATTTACTACTACATCAGCCACCACTGGCCTTTCCAGAGGGCTCTTTGTCTGCTGTGTTTTTACCTGAAGTATCTCAACATGTATGCCAGCATTTGCTTCCTGACATGCATCAGCCTTCAGAGGTGCTTCTTTCTCCTCAAGCCACTCAGAGCCAGAAACTGGAAGCATAAGTACGATGTGGGCATCAGTGTTATCATCTGGGTCATTGTGGGGACTGCCTGTTTGCCATTTCCTGTCTTGAGAAGCACAAACTTAGGCAACAACACTGACTCCTGCTTTGCTGATCTTGGCTACAAGCAAATGAAGGCAGTGGTTTTGGTTCCAATGATTACAATTGCTGAACTTGCCGGATTTGTGATTCCCGTAATCGTCATTGGATGTTGTACTTGGAAAATGATTATATCCTTAAGACAACCACCGATGTCTTTTCAAGGAATCAATGAGAAGCAAAAAGCACTACGGATGGTTTTCATGTGTGCTGCAGTCTTCTTTATCTGCTTCACTCCCTATCATATTAACTTTTTTTTTTATACCATGGTAAAGGAAACCATTATTAGCAGTTGTTCCATTGTCAAAAGTACACTGTATTTCCATCCTTTTTGTGTTTGCCTTGCAAGTCTCTGCTGCCTTTTTGATCCAATTCTCTATTACTTCATGGCTTCAGAGTTTCGTGACCAACTATCTCGCCATGGCAGCTCTGTGACACGTTCTCGTCTCATGAGCAAAGACAGTGGTTCATCAATGATTAGGTAAAAAATAAAATAACTTTTTAATTATGATTTTGCTTACCTATGTTCTTTGGATTTTTCCAAATGCCAGAATTATCAGCCAGACAATTTCTTTAATTGAACCTTTGAAACAACAGAAATAGATATTTTTTTGGTGACAATTGTGGTCACAAGGTTGGTGGAGGCAGAATATGAAAAGTGTGGGATGAGAATGAAAGATAGAATTTACCTATTTCTTTTTTTTTTAATTTAAGGCATTCTATTAGTTAAGAGCCCTGGGAACTTGCTGAGTAGATCAGGCTGGGTTTGAAATTAAATTGTAGCTCATGTTGGTTCTTGGATTTTCCATCCCCTGCCTGAGTACAATTTTTTACAGATATTTTTAACCACATAAAAATTGACTACTTTAGATTAAAAATTTATTCATAAATTGCATATTATTAATAAGATACAATCAATACAGGGATCTTTTTTAACAGGTAAGATAAGATTTCATTCATATGACCTTCATTTATCAATAAAAATATCCAGCCTAAGAGATAAAATCATAGGCAAAGGGGCATGAAGGGTTTAAGCAAAGTGTACATGTTTCCAGACCATAACTTTATTACTGAAGTAAGGTTGTGTAAATTTATTCATTCATGGAAAATTTATTGGAAGTCTATTGCATTCTGGGGTGTCACTTTGCTAGCTATTTTCATATATAGCATATTATTTGGCCCCTCCAATACAGATATTCTTGTGTGGAAATGAATAAATAGGACACAAATGAATAAATGGGACCTCAGAGAAATGAAGCATCTTGCACTGGGATAAACAGTGGTAGGACAAAATTTGCCCAGAATACAGCACATATGCTCAAGTTATTCCCTTTGATAGTGTTGTTATATTTATTGAGTTAATACTAAGTTTGATTTCAATGATGAAGAAAGACAAAAGATAAGCCATATTAGATCAAGGCCATTTCAATCTGAATTTTGTAGCCATATCAGTATTTAGGTTGCAAGGTTGTCAATGACAGATACAATGTTCTAATAATGTACCAATTTAAAGAGTTCTGATGATAAAGGGGTGTAATAATTCCAAATATTTCATTATTTTCCATGAAATATACTTAAGGGATAATAAAGTTCATATGAAACCCATAAATAGATTAAAGAAAGCTGTAATTCTGAATGATGAACATTTGGTAAAATATAGACTTTTTAAAATATGCCTTATTGTTAATACTACATATTACTCTGAACAAATTTATGAGACTTTTAAGAAACTTTTCTGTAAGCAGAACCCACAGTACATTTGAAATGGAAAATATTATCACATTGTAAATGAGTACGAGAAATAATTTGTATCTCTTCCTGGAAATCTTCTCATATTAATTCTTCCAAAGATTATGAATATTGTTTCAGCATCATTAAGGTAGATTTGAAGTTAAGCAATCCTTCAGCTTTTCAGGATGGAATTTGTGAAGCTCAATCCATCATGTTTGCCTTTTATGTCTGATATTGTTTCTCCTTACATTTTCTGCATATTTTCTAAGAATGTATGCATTTGGTGTACAAAGAAGAAAAGGGAAATGGTAAAAAAAGAGACAAAATAGAATGAGGAATTTAAAAAGAAGGTTGCTAGTTGTAATTATTATAAAGTAATAAAATGTGTGTATGTTTGTGTGTGCATGCTCATGTGTGCAAGCTCATGCATCTGCACTGTATTAACCCTAATCTGTAAGCACTGCCTAAATAGGGTTTCCAAATGTACTTGGAATTAAAGGTAGCATTACCAGAATCACTGTATTCATGGCTCCAATTTAAAGAAATGACTCTGAGTCTTGCTTTGTAGTTCAGGTTGGACTTGAACTCATTATGTAGCCCAGGCTGGCCTTGAACTCACGGTAATCCTCCGGCATCAACCTCCTGAGGGCTGGGATAAAAGGCAGACATCACCACACCTGGCTTAAAATTGTTAATATTTAGAATTTTAAGTCACTAGATTTGAAAGTAAAGGTTTGCACTGTAAACTGCACCTCAGATTTGAGAAATTTTTGTTGATGCCACAAAAGTATGGCTTAATACTGCAAATTCTATCAGGTATTGTAAATATCAATTTCAAATAGAAAAGAAGGAACAGTCCGAGTGCTAGAGTGTTAAACAAAATCTTTAAAAGCAACAAAGACAGGATTAGAGATGTCATCAGCAATTTAGGAATATCCGTGAGTCAAGAAAGCCCTTTATAGTAATATGTTGTTTTAAAAATGAAGTTAAGTGGCCTACTACCATCCAAAAACCTTTATCTCTAAATATATTCAATGTCTGCTGTTGGGAGTGCCCACATCCTTTCATAATGGAGAGCCAGTAAGTAGTAGGATTTTCTTACAGCTAACTTTGCTTTTCCCAAAGGGAAAAAATAGTACCTCATTAACCTGGAACTTATGGTTCATCAAGTAAGCCTTGGTTAATGTTTACCTGTTCATTACATTAAAAAAAGAAAAACAAGCAAATGGTACAAATAAAGTTTGATCTTTGAAAGCATTTTAGCAGTAGCTATTTACGTATAAAAATAATGATTATTTTAAATCTTCATATAGCTCATTATAGAAAACAATCAATTGTATGTATAATTCATTTAGCTGTAGTTACGAATACCTATTTTTCCTAAATGACCCTCTTATACAAAAGTAGAGATTTTACTGTGTCCTTACAAATATTACACCCTGTTTAATCCAAAATACTACGTAGTGAGCTTTTAAGTTATGCCGGGCATTTAACCACAGTAAAGGCCATTGTATAGGTTTTAAGGCAACATAACCTGTAATAATACATAGTTCTGATTCCTGCATAGAAAAGTCCTTGACCTTCACTATCTCTATGTAAAGCACTAACTCTTATATAACATTAATGAATTTAATATTGTATAATTTTGTGTTTTCATTATAGTCATTTTTTTGTACCAGGGATAAAACTCAGGACCTTGCGCCTGTGAGGCAGGCCTGGTGCCACTGAGCTAAGTCCCTGGCCCTAGTCATGATTTTTTAAAAGGCACATGCCTTCATTTGTAGTCAGAAAGTATATTCCTTAAATCCTACTCTCAACCTTTAGTTTTGGGAACTGTATCATTGAATATGTTATTTGTGACAGCCCCACATCTTTTACATATCACTTGAAGGACTGTGATCCTGAGAAATTCTTTGCCTAAAACAGGACCCAGTATATGAGCATAGGGCTTCTGGGGAGGGAACTCCAATTAATTTACTACTGTTACAGGAGGTCAGAACCATAAAGATCAGGGTCCCCTGAAATAAAATCAGTGATATATTTTCTTACATATTCCTTTATTTTAGAAAGTTTGTCTGGATAACAGCAGGTCCTAAGCATCTTCATATTTACTGTATCATATGAAGACATTGTTACTCTGAGGCCTAGCATGTTTGGCTACTGCTTTTCTTTATAAGTGGAAAGGGTAGAGGTTAATGTTTTAATACATTGTGTGTAAATAGCTCAATCCTTTTTATATTTTTCCTGGTCCACACTTTCTAAGAATAGATGTTTAAAAAATAGCAGTTCACTAATAAACATTACACATTATTTGAATACTCCCAGGATAATGTCAATTTGGGTGCTATAGACTTTCCACTTAGCATTAATCAGTCTCAGTAATGCATGTAGGAGACAGTATTCAATCTAGTATACATTAAACCTATAATGAACCGTATTTATATACTATCATGCCAGAAAGCCATGGCAGAAAGACCATCTGCATTCAGCAGAACATACTTTGTTCCTTTGGCTGTGAATAAAATTGGATAAAATTGTTTTATTCAAAATTCCAGCTAAAGGAAGAAAGTGGAATAAGATTGATATTACTGTTGCCAGTATTGCAAAAACATTACTAAATTGGTTCTGCCTACAATTGATGTTTGAGAATTGTCACTAATTTAAACAACATTGATTACTAGCTACAAGAAAAGACTATTAACTTTTTTTCCTTAAATTCTTTTATTGGTATGATTAAAATGAATACTTGATAATTTGAAATAAGAAAAGGTCCAAAAAAAGACTATTAACTTTAACAGCCACTTTACAGCAGGCATGCAGAGACTTGTGTTGAAGTTGTGTTCTTAACTCTGTATTCATAAGAAAGAAAAACAATGGGAGGGGCCGGGGATTTAGCTCAGTGGTTTCGCCACCTGCTTCGCAAGTGCAAGGACCC